AGAAGTAGATGTTTTTCTGGAACTCCCTAGCTTTCTCCATGATCCAGCGTATGTTGGCAATTTGATCTCTAGTTGTATAGATGTATACTATACTGTGTACCAGTAAAACAATGATTTAAATATATTCATATTTGCACACCTTGTGGTCTGCTCCAGAAAAAGAACAGTCTATTTCAAGGTGAACTCAACAACAGGTGGTATCATCAACATATTGATGTGGTTTTCTTTTCAAAAATATGGAAGTGGTTTCCCACTGATGGCCTCCTGGTGCTCCAATCCAAATACTAACCAGGTTTGACCTTGTTTGTCTTTTGAGCCCTCATAATATCAGCTTGATGCTATCTCTGCTAAGACCTAAGGTAATACTGAGCTTGTACAAAGCTTCTATTCATCACATAAGAACCTGATTCATCATGTTTGATTGTTTCTTTTCAGTTTTTGATTGGTGGTTTGGTGGTTCTAGAGCAGGCGTGTCAAACTGCCGGCCCATAAGCCAGATGTGTCATGCCAAAACCGTGCCCATCCCATTGCTGGCAATGGGGAAAAAGTCGCAATATGTCACGACACATCATGACGTTGCGAGTTTGACATCCCTGTTCTAGAGGCTGCTTGGAGGATTATATCAAGCCACCTAAGCACTGGCCCCTCAACTTTGGACCACTTATTTCTCTCATATTATCTTAACATTTCCAATTTTCTTTGTCTTCTACTGTAAGCATAGTCCAACAGATCTTGATTGATTGTATTCCTTCAAACTGTCTTGACAAATTCTCAAAGGATTTGAATATTATATATGCTATGCAGTGGCCTGTTTGTTTAAGCATATTCCATAAACTGATTTTTTTTCTCATAGTACCAGTAATCATTTTGTAGCTCAGTTTTAGGTCCCCTACGTTAACGGATGTTCACAAATCTTAAAACTACAGAAAGGACAGAATTTACATACCAGAAAACAATGTTTATCAGCAGAAAATATTAACTGCAGTTTCTATTTAGAGACAAAATTCCTGTTCAGAGGCAAATATCTTTGAGTTTTAAAAGGAATAAGAGACTACATTTGCCATTTGAGATTCCTGTGTTGTTGGCATCTCTAACCAGCCACACTTAGATTGAATAATGACCTTTCTATCGCATTACAGCAGAATGATGTTCATGATGGTAGCACTTTGCCACAATTGTGCTAACAAGCTTTGTCTTTTGTGTGAATGTATCTGAATCCTTCTAATCTTTTTAGCATCATTCATTGAAGATTTTATTTGCAACTGATTTTTAAATTTACCTGTAATTGAAATTTCAATATAGCTACCTTCTTACAACAGGAACAATTAAGCTCTGAATAGAAGTGAAGTAGTTACTATTTTTTCACCTTAAAGGTTCAGGATATAAAGAATTTATCATAATCCCAAAGCAAGGGATCTTCTTTAAATAAGGAACAAATACAAATTAATTACAATATATATATATTTTTCTATCACTTTGGGGATATTGTTTAGGATTTTATATATGCAATATATTGCTTGTTATCTTTTGTTCCTTTTCAAAGTTAAAATTTGATACCAAGGAGTGCATCACCATATGCAGTGGCTAAATATTTATTTTTGCTGGCAATGTAGCCAAACCTGAGAGAAAAATGTAGCACATCAAGAAGACACTTCCACAGTGTATGTATTTGAATGGAAGCATAAATTGCAAGAAAAAAATGGTCTAAATTAAGATTAGTCTATTGCAGTTCACTTTATAGGAAGGTTGTTGTGCTTGGTGTCATTTGTATTTTTTCAAAAAATGAAAATGAAACTCTGTTTGGAAATGAAAATGATTAATTTTCCTATTAAACACTTCTAGTACACAGCAAAAAGTATTCTCTTCAGAACCCTGCATAAGCCTCTGATTTGCATATTTCCTTTCCTTTCCCTTATTTGGCAACCATAAAGAAATAACCTCTTGAGGTCCTGGAAGTCCATTAGAATCCAGCTTTTCTCCCAGCCATTAGGAATCGGGTGTTGAAGGGAGGGCAATACTTGTCTGTTTGTACTAGTATGAGTTTGTCATGTGGTGCCTTGATTTGTATTTGATTACTGTATTTAAACTGTATTTTTTTTACAGTTTTATTTTTATTTTTTCTTGTGGAGTGGTTAGTTAAGCCATCAAGGGTTATGTATTGAATGTGGACAACCATATACATTTTCTAAATAAATACATTTAGAGTAATATTGTTAAATGAAAAATCATATCCTAAAACCTGGAATGGACAATAATTTCGAATATATTGCCATAGTTTCTTATTTTTCTGCCATCATACAACGTTCACTGTATTTCCTTCTCTCCATCCCTAATTACTTCCCTTTCTGGAACAGTATGAAGGTTGGTATGAACAATGAACCAGTGTAGTGTTTATTTATTTAGTGTATGGCATATTATACATGACAAGCAATATAAATTAACATTTGAACTAGATTAGTAGAACCCAATAAAATATAAATACTAAAAAGATATATGTTCAAAATGCAAGAAGAAATCCTTCCTTCCACTTAATTGAACTCATTTTCAAATCCCCTTTCTACACACTTAAGGATTCTTCTCTTTTCACTAAAGGTATCTATTATTCTCAGTTTTAACAGAGAACTTAACTTGTGGGTTGAGGAAAAAAACACAATGCTATGATGATATTTCATAATTATTGTCCAATAACATTAGGACAAGATCTTTACTTTCCCTTCTCTATTATTGTTTAATATGTGGCTTACCTTTTTTTTCTAAGGAAAGTTAAATATTTTTTCTTCAGATTGCAGACCACATAGCTCTTCTATACAGCAAATATAAATATGTTTCCCATGAAAGTAAATGTCATATGAACGAATATAGGCTTCAGGTCATAATGCATATTCTGCTTCCTTTTCTCTTTAGGAAAATGTGATACAAATGTATTACACGTTTATTTGCTTGTATGTATGAAGTTATGCCAGTTTGCTCTGAGTGAAATGGGACCAGGATCCAAACCATATTTTACATATTTTGATCTTAATCATAATATTTTGGTAAGCATTTCCTGTTGCAGTCTTATTGCCGACCCTTTTTTGCTCCACTATTCAAAACCATTCTACTGCATTTGCTCATTCTTTATTGCCTGCAATGGAATCATTGTTTCCCAAGCTATCCTTGAAACATAATAATAGTTTGTCAATGTGGCAAATGACTTTATCTGGCCTGGGCTTTTTGCCTCAGGATATTAACTAACAAATTGATCCTGCCAGGACTCTCTTTTGCGTGCATTGTTTCTTAATTACATGATTTGTAAGATACGTCAGGCTCAATTATTCAATTTGAAAAGAGACCAGGAAGGGGGGGGGAACCCATACAACAGAGAAGACCAAAGGGCAAAAAGAATATATGAGGAAATATAAAAGAGCTCCTGCTATAACAAAAACAAAGCTGAAAGCCATAGGAAATTCCCTTCACTTGATAATCAAGAACTAATTTATATTTAGCTGGAATATCTCCCAGCTGAAAGCATTAGGTTTTTGTTATCCAAAGTGCACCTCAAAGCTCTACTGTAGTTTAGTTTAGTGATGCATACTGGCTGTGAACATGTAGAATGCAAAAGAGACAGATTTGTAAAAACAAAAACAAATCCGAGTTTATTTATTTATTTATTAAAATTTATAAACCGCCCCACTCACACAGGACTCCGGGCGGCTAACAATAAAAACACAATATAACTTAACAAGACAAACAATACAGTAACATTCATCCAGGGGTCAGATTTTATAAACCCCAGGCCTGCCAGAAAAGCCAGGTCTTAAGCAGCTTGCGGAAAACCAACAGGGTGGGAGTGGTCCTAATCTCCGGGGGGAGCTGGTTCCAAGATGTGGGCGCCATCACAGAGAAAGCCCTCCCCCACGGCCCCGTCAAATGGCACTGCTTGGCCGACGGGACCTGAAGGAGGCCCAGCCTGGGGGATCTAACCGGACGAAGGAACTATGAGGTAGTAGGCGGTCTCACAAATAGTCTGGCCCTGAGCCATATAGAGCTTTAAAGGTAATAACCAACACCTTGAATTGAACCCGGAGACCAATAGGCAACCAGTGCAGCTCGTGGAGGATAGGTTGAGGATAGGTTGAGGATAGGTTGAGGATAAATGATAAATGAGTTGTTTACTCATTTAAGTTTTTGGAATACCAAAGTCACTTCAAAATGAAGACACTACGGTTTAGCCAAATATTTTGTCAAGTCTTAAAGTTGAACTTTTTTTCCTGAATCAGTTCAGGTAAAGTAGCATTGAACTCCCTGCAGACTGTGATGTCAGAAACTAATGACTGAGGTTTATTCCTCATTCCAGGTATATTGTTGATCAGAATGACAACCACACTTGACTTGAGTAATAATTTATGGTTTGATTGTACTGAGCAAAAAACTCAGATAGAAAATAATGAATGTTCTGCTTTCATAATATTGCAAATGGGTAGGTAATGTTGTCAGCTTTTAGAAATCTTTATTACTACCATCCAGGCAACTTTCATCTATTACTATGAAATTTAACACCTTTTAATCCAATAAAGATATAGTATGTGGATGTTGCCTATAGTTTTTGTTCAATTCATTTTTTTCTGCTGTTTGATCCAACTATTGCTTTGTTACATTTTCTTCAGGCAGCATTTTTGCCTAGCAGCAAACTAAAAATAAAGGTAATGTAGAAAGTCTTTTGCTAGTTTCTTTCAAGGCAGACATAAAGAAAAAGTATCTACACTAAATGTTCTGTTCCCTCACATACAGCAATGAGTTTCTCTTCTCAAAATATTCTAAGCCAACATTCGGGGTCCAAGCATGCAGCATTAACTTATTAACAAGAGGTTTAAAAATAATCAGTATCTTGATATGGTTGAACATGGACTCAACCATATATCACCTCCTAGGCAGTCTTAACTAAACAGGAAGGCCATGGATCTCAAGGAGAGATAGCTGGCTTAACAGTCCTAAGACCCTGCCTACTTTGTCAAACGCCACTGAAGTAACAGGACAGGACAATACCAATCAGAGACAGGACCAAATCTGAACACAACTGAATGACTTTATCTGATACTGTAGTCCCTGGAGTATTCCTTACATCTCATGGAACAGAAAGGGTATCATGCAGGTTGGTGAAAGCATAGTTCATTATAGTTACATAAATCTTTTAGCAATTATGGGATTAAGCAATTAAATCAAGGAACATGTTCTTTTAATTAAATATCAATATCACTAATGTTAATTATATTTTTGCTTCTGTTTGATGGAATTCAATTGACACATTTGGAAACATATTTGGAAATATTTTCTCTTTACTTTTCTTCCACTTGCATTGCCACTTCCAAGCCTGGAAAAACTATTATCAGTGGTAATTTGAACTATAAAGTATCAGCTTGTCATAATGGCTACAAAGCTATCTCATAAGGTTCTTGGAGTAGGATTTAGTGGTTTTGTTTGTTTAATACATGAAACAATTGGTGCCATAAGTAAGCTGGGAACTGAATGATTCGGTGCCAGAAGACGTCAGCAACTAATAACAGCTATTACAGTAGCATTTCCTTTGCACTCTGTGATTCAGAAAAAAGCACTAATTATTGCTGCTTTTAGTAGGCATATAAGATATTATATGCATACGGCTGACATTGTATGGATACTTCTCACATAGCTATAGATACACCCACATACTAAAAGTACTGAAATGTCTTTGTTTTGTCTGTTGTTGGTTAGAAATTATAAGAATTGAAGACTGGAAGGAGGGGGAGAACAATGGGCTCTGGTAAAAGTTACTGCTAATGGAAAAATTTCTAGATTTAAAATTCAAACTGATACCTTGAAAGAAGGCTTAATTGAAAAGCCATTTTTTAATACAGTGTGTCCCTAAACACCATGAAAACCTATTGTTTAAATATAATCCAAGATTATAGTCACAAAGTTGGCCAATAATTAAGTTAATTGAATAGTTATTTCTCAGAAAGCAAAATGGAGGGGGTTCTTTAAATTTTCAGCATTTTAATATACAGTATTTCCTTTTTTTTACAGACTTCACTGAGATTGGATTTAATTCTGAAGTTTAATGAGAGAATAGTAGCTGTGATTACTCTCCTATAACGGTTTGTTTGGGGAGGGGATCTTTCTAATCCTTCAAACTGTTCCATGTCTGCCTAGAGCTAAGAAAGAGGCAAACTTTAGTCCCAAAGGTGCTTTTCAAGAGGCATTTGAAGACATTTCAGTTCTCTTCCAAGAAGCTTTTTCAGTTCTAAACTAAAGAACTACAGAACTGAAGAAGCTTCTTGGATGAGAAGCGAAAAGTCTTTAAGGAAAAACAAAGAAAGTCCAATTGCCTCTTGGAAAAGCACCTTTGGGACAACCATGACCTGGATGACTGAGAATCTCCATAGACATTCAGGTAAACTTTAGCCAAATATTCCTCATATGAGAAGTTAATCAGTTCAGAACTTTTGCAACTAGCACTAGCAAATTAATCCCAAAATATCTTTTTTTCCCTAATCTAAGTAATAATCAGATGGTTTCCAATCACTTTAATCTGTCCACAAATGTATTGTAACATCCCAGTTTTCTTTGCCCTCACACACAATTACTTAAGGAATTACCTAAGGAAAATCTCCGCTATCATGTTTGCAAGCCTGTTGTTATGGATGCAAACAGATGGATTTTCTAAAGCCTCTCCTATAAATCAGGACAGGAAACTCATGTCTACAAGTTGCATGCAATGACCTCAGCCTTACGGTTCATTTCATCAAATTTATGGTGCCAACGTGTTAGGAAATTTGTACTTGATTTCCTAACATTTTTATTGTAAAAGATGTACTTTTTATGGGCCAATAAACAGCCACTTTTTTCAGGCTTCACATACTTTTGTGGTATGAACTGTCTCTAAATAGAAATAGAGAAAAATAAGTAGAATCATTGCTTTCAAGTGCTAGATTTTTCTAAGTCTAGCACCATACAGTATTTTGCCAAGTGGTACCTGAAATGAGCTCGGGTTATATTGGGTAAATACTCTCTTAATGTCTTTTGTCCTAAAGTCTTTAACATAAAGATTTGAATTTATTGATAAAGAATTAAGAATTGGCTGGAAGAAAATGTTTTGCCAGTTGAAAACTAAATCAGAATAGGATATTTATAGCCTTCCCATGGCCATGTCCTTCACTCTCCTGCCTTGGATTTTTCAGTACAGTATAGAAAAAAAAAGTAGAAGGGAATTGGATGTTCCTTCTGAAGCACATGGTTGTATTTAGGAAAAGAGAAATACAGAATATTCTGGTCTAGCAGGTAAAACATCTCTCTTTTCCATTGTCTATATACGTACTTATATATACAGTGCTATAGATAGCCTTCATTTAGTGACTCTCTCAGACAGTAACCATTCAAATTTATGACAATAATGAAAAAGTAACTTTGTGACCAATCTTCACATTTATGACCTTTACAGTTCCACAAAGCAAAGGAAAACTGAAGTAGGTTCATAAGCACAGACACAGTTTCATTTAGCTATCATTTTGCTTAATGACTGAGTTGCTGGTCCTCAGTTATGGTTGATAAATAAGGACTACCTTTATGTGTGGGGGCAGTTATGAACATTTCATCCACAAATATAGATGTTTATGTATTTGTTGTATCATTGTACATCTGTGGGTAGTAATAAATAACTTTGAATGAATATGCTTAAAACTTTATTCAACTTTATTCAACTTTGAGTGTAGATAGGAGTGTACACAACTACAGAAACATACAATTCCATTCAGATCTTTACAAGGAGCCATATCTTAGAAAACAATTAAGAAAAATATTGTATATTTTCATTCACTAACCTGGAGTTTCCACTAAATTTGATGGGGTTCTGTGATAAACTAAGGACAAAAAAAAGCACTTGAACATAGCCAATTTTCTATCACTAAACTTTGCGTCTTTATCTAACAAATAGTGTAAACATTATCCTGTCAATTTAAGAGACAGGTAATCAGCTAATGCAGTGCTGGCTGTGGAATTCTGGGAGTTGAAGTCCACATGCCTTAAAATTATCAAGGTTGAGAAACACTGAGCTAATGGCAAATGTCTTATAACACTGACAAAAAGGAAGAACATGGGCCATGATTTTTAAAACAATTGTGCCTTGAAGCAATATCATGTTTCTATGTTTCTATGAAATGTTCCTGTATCTCCCTTCCAAAATAGCTGCAGGCTTCCTTAATACGAGTTTCAGATCTCCATTTAGGTACTGAAATTTGGTATACTTTTGAACCAGTTGAGGAACTAACTTTCAATGATTTATATAGCCTATGGAAGGCAGCAGATTCTGCTTGATTTATTCTGTCTAAAATACTTTACCTTAAGGTTAATTTATTTTAATATGGCCCTACTGGTGGATTAACACCAATGAAAAGCTGTAATAACTCAATATCCTTTGGGTTGCTTTTTCCTAAAAAGATTTAGAGTTCTCTGCCATTGTTAAGTGCACAAATCCAAGAGGTTGTGCAACCATTTCAGCCAGTAAATAAAATATTTACCAACTATTGGTTTCATGTTTACTTACTCCTGCTTCCTGCTGAAATATCATACTTGGATCCAGTAGGTAAACTGAAAAATGTTCTTAAACATTAAATTGGACTCTCTAGGAAAGACTTGTTATATGATTCTAGTTGAGATTCATATAGCAACTGTGCTCAAGCTTCATCTTCAAAGAATTTATAGCAGCATATATAAACTGAGTACTTCAAACAAAATAATAAGCTCTGGTGACTAATACTGCTTCTGTGCATTTTTGGACAGATAATCCAACAAGAAGCTTGTGAAGCTAACCTTAAATATTTGACGATCTTGACCTGCTCTGGTTTCTCTTCAGATTGTATAAATCTTTCACTCACCTAATAAGGGGGTAATAATAAATAAATAAATAATAAACAAAAAATGATTTGAGAAAGAGAGAATAATATTTACAACTTTTTTTTTATTGAATTTTTTTCAAAAATTTTACAAATAAACATCCACCCCCCCTCCCAAACCACCCCGCCCTCCCCCCCCGACTTCCCAGAACTGAGTATAGGATTATTTAACAAATTTTAAAAAATAACGTATACAATTTATAAGATAATTAATAATAATAATAAAAATCATAATAATAATATATATAATAATAATATACGTAAAAAAAAGGAAGAAGAAAAAAGGGAAAAAGAAAAGAGAGAGAGAAAGAAAAAAGAAAGAAGTAGGCGAAAAATAAAACATATATAGAAAAGTATATAAATAATAATACAGAAGAAGAAAGAAAGAAAGAAAAAAAAACAATCATTACAAGTTATAAAAAGGCTAAATAATATTTTTCCATATCTAAATTATGTTGTATAAAATTTATCCATTTTTCCCATACCGCAAAAAATTTCTCTTGAGATTGCTCCTTTAAAAAAGCCGAAATCTTTGCCATTTCTGCCAAATACGAAACTTTATAAAACCACTCTTGTAAAATAGGCAAGGATTCCTTCTTCCAATATTGTCCTATTAACAGCCTAGCGGCTGTAATCAAATTTAGCATCAATATAACCTCCCTAGCATCACAATCAGTAACAATACCTAATAAAAATAATTGCGGAGTAAATTTTACCCTCCTTCTAAAAATTCTCTGAATATTCCACCATATCTTAATCCAAAAAGCTTTTATATGCTTACACGTCCACCAGATATGATAATAAGTAGCATCCAAGTGTCCACATCTCCAGCATTTCGGCTGTAAATTAGAGTACATAATGGACATTTTCTTTGGATCAAGGTGCCATCTATAAAACATCTTATAAAAATTCTCTCTTAAATTTTGCGCTTGTGTGAATTTAACATTTCTTGTCCAAATAAGTTCCCAAGTATCCATTGAAATCGATTCACCAATATTCTGTGCCCATTTAATCATACAATCTTTAACTAATTCAGATTCTGAATCCAATTCCACTAAAACCCCATAAACTCTCTTAATATGGGTTGGCCTTTGATCTCTTACTTGTTTTAGGAGAGTTTCATCTTCTCTAAGCCAGCCCATTTTACAATCCATCTTCCATCTGTCCACTATTTGTCTATATTGGAACCATGAATAAGTTAGATTTTCATGTGTTAGTTCTTCCAAAGATTTTAACTGCCAGTCTTGGCCATCCCATCTAAGTAACTGTGCATAAGAAACCATATCCATATTAACCCCTTTCCTTATACCTTCTATGGCATGCCGAGGTATAGCCCATAATGGTATTTTAAAATCAAATTTATAATACTTCCTCCACACTCTAAGCAAAGAGATTCTTATAATATGAGACTTAAAAACCCAATCCACTTTTTTATTAAATATTAAATAGGCATGCCATCCAAAAAGTAAATCCCAACCTTCCAAATGAAGTATTTCTATATTTGTTAAATTCACCCAATCGCTGATCAATGTTAGTACTACAGCATCATAATACAATTTCATATTTGGTACCTTGAGTCCACCTCTCTCACGAAAATCTTGCATTATTTTAAGTTTCACCCTTGGTTTTTTCCCTGCCCAAACAAATTTATTAATACCTTTTTGCCATTCATCTAAATTACGATCACTCTTTAAAATAGGTAACATTTGAAACAGAAAAATAAACTTTGGCAGGACATTCATTTTAATAACTGCAATTCTACCCATAAGGGATAACTGTAAATTGTTCCAATTTTTTAAATCCTTCTGTATCTCCGTCCACAACTTTTCATAATTATTTTTATACAGTTTTGCATTGGAAGCAGATAATGTAACCCCCAAATATTTTACCTTATCAACAATTTCAAAGTCTGTTAACTTAACTAAAACCTGTTTATCACCATTAGTCATATTTTTAGCTAATATTTTGGTCTTATTATTATTAATTTTAAAACCAGAAACACGTCCATATTGTTGGATCAATTGTAATAATTTTACCACCGAACAAATAGGTTGAGACAAAGTAACAACCAAGTCATCTGCAAAGGCTCTTAATTTATATTCTTTTTTATTAATTTCTATTCCTTTTATTTCTTGAGACTCCCGAATTTTAATCAACAATATTTCCAATGTTAAAACAAACAATAACGGGGATAACGGGCATCCCTG